TACAGCATTATATTAAGCATCTGTATACACTATATCATAATCTGCAGCAAAGTCTAACTTTTTTGCCAAGTTCAAGTTTTATTCCTTCTATTCTTTGCATGTAAATGGTTTTTCGGAGGAAGGGGTAATTATATTCACAGATTAGTGAAACCATCTGATAATCTGATTTTTACTTTTGACTTGTTTCACTTAATATAATCACCTTCACCTCTAGGTCCATTCATATTTGTTCCAGATGCCACCTATTGAGTTCCTTTGCTGTGTGTGTATGTGTGTGTGTGTGTGTGTATGTGTGTAGAGGACTGAAATACAATGCTAAGGGGAGACAGTGGACATCACAGGAGAGGTCTGCTGTGCCATATGTGTGTCAGTACTTGGCTGGGATCAAATTCAGACTGTAGCAGTGATAGGGCTGAGAACCCCTAGGCCTTCCTGGAGACCCCTATTTTCCCAATCTTTAATTGGGCCATTTTAGATAAGAACTTTGTAGATTTTGGAGTTTAACCTTTGCCATATGTGTAGTTTGCAAATGCTTTCCCCCCCATTCTATAGGGTTTGTTTTTGTGATGGTTTTCTTTGAGGTACAGAGCTTTAAAGTTGAATATAATCTCACTTGTTTCTTTTTGCATTTTTTTCCCTTACTGTGGGATTGTATTTCCAAATACATCTTTGTGGAGATATCCTGTAGTGTGTCTCCCAAATTCAGTTATTTGGTGGTTTTGGTTCTTATGTCAAGGTCTTTAATCCATTTTGAATTAATTTTTGTGTATGTGGATCTTGCTTCATTTTTTTTTTTCTTGCACATGAATGGCTATCCATGTTTCCTGGCACCATTTATTAAAGAGTATTTTTTCTCTATAGTATGGCTGTTGAAGATTAACTGTCCATATTTATATGCTTTCAATTCTATTGCATTAGTTTGAGTTTCTGGTTTCATTCCAGTATTAGACTGTTTTGATTATTGTTTCAGTATAATATAGCTGAGGTCAGAAGTATGGTATCTGTTCAAATTTGTGCTTAAATATTCTTTGGATAATTACCCAGTAGTGTAATATTTATATCATGTTATTTCTGTTCTTACATTTTTGAACACTCTGTATACTGCCTCTTTAGTGACTGTACCAATTTAGGTTCCCTCCAATAGGGTATATAGATTTCTTTTTCTCCATATCCTTATCAACATTTGTTGTTTCTTGACTTTTTTTTTTTGATAATAGCCGTTTTGAGAAGTATGAGTTGCTATCTTGTTGTAGTTTCAATTTGCCTTCTCCTAGAAATAATTAATGATTAACATCTTTTCATGTGCCATTTTGCCTTATGTATGTCTTTGGGGAAGTGTTAGTCAAATTCCCTACCCATTTTTTAAAAACAGGTTACTTGTTTTTTATTGTTGAGTTGTATGAGTTCTCTCTATATTTTAAATATTAATCCCATGTTGAATGTATAATTAGTATCTCCTCCCATTCAGTAGGTTGCCTTCTAATTTTGTATTGTGCTTTTTTTTTGCTGTCCAGAATTTTTTAAATTGATGTAGTTGCACTTACTGTACTTCTATTTCCCTTGCTGTAAGAGTCAAATTTACAGAGAAACAATACTAGGACTAACATCCAGGAGCTCAACTGCCTGTGCTTTCTTTTACGTTCTTGATGATTTTATCTTATATTCAAGTATTCAATCCATTTAAGATACTTTCTATGTATGATGTAAGACAGTGGTTAGTTTTATTCTCTGGCATGGTTAGTTGCCCATTTTTCCCAGGACATTTATTGATTTTTTTCTTCTTGTATGTGCATGGCCCTTAGTTGTAAATTAGTTGTCCATTAAAATAGTGAATTTTATAAGTCTTTCCCAGTAGATCTTTAGGTATCATTTCTGATGTCCTTGAACAGTTTTTGCTGATTACTTTTCCTCTGTATGTGGGACATACTTTCTAGTTTCTTTGCATATCTTAGAATTTTTGTTAAGAATTGGACATTTGAAATAATGTGGCAACTCTGAATTCAGAATTTCTTCCCTTCTCAGGATTGCTTTCGCTGCTACTGTTGTGTGTATGTGTTGCTTTAGTGACTTTCCAGAACTAATTCTGTAAAATCAATTATTTTCTATCATGCATGAACAATAAAGTCTTTATTCAGTTTAAGTGGTCAGCTAATGCTTGGACAAAGGTTTCCTTAAATGTCTGGAATGAGTAAATCTACTCTTGGCTAACTGACTCTGTGTGTTTGTGACATAACGTCAATACTCAGCCATGAATTTTACAGTTCTATCGTATCCATTTCTTCCTACTTCTGCATAGCTGGAGACCAGCTAGAGGTGAGAGCTTAGGTTATATTTCCTATCTTTCCTAAGCCATGTACATATCCTTCTAGAGTCCCAAGGATATGTCAGAATTTTCCCTTGTTGACGTCTTTTTCCCAAAGTTTTCTTTTTAATCTTTTTTGTTAGTCTGTTGTTTGCCTCAGCTGTTTCCATGGCCTTGTTCAGCCATGAAGTTAAAATATTTGCCTGTAATGACTATCCCAAGCCCTTCCTCTATGCTTTAGGTAGAAGGCTTTTTTAGCAAGGCAAGAGTTAAGAACTACCACACTACCACTTTCTATTTCTTCATCTTAGCCATACCTAAACAGCTCCTTTACAGTAATAGAAAATTACAACTATGAGAACTGAAAGTGTCAGACCAACATAGAGTCTCTTGAAAAACCTAAGGACAAATGAAAACAAGAACACAAAAGGAATTTTTGGACTCAAAGAACATAGCAATATAAAGAGAGAGAAAGATAAAAGGCTCTCATAGCACAAGGTGTTCAAGCACAGCACTTTGAAGCTGTCAGTAGCCACTGCAGCAAGTGTTTGATCCCTGGCCAGGCAGGAGACCCACATGGTGCAGCAGACCTCTCCTGTCTCACCTGCTTCTCCTCTCAGCAGTGTATTTCAATAGACCCGCCTGATCTGTTCTCCACTCTGTCTCTGGTGAATCCTCTCAATCTCTGCACCTCTAGCCTGTACCCCAGTTCTTGTATGCACAATTAAATAAAGGAAAAGGGAGGGAAAGAATTCTGTAGTTCTTTGGTTAGGTCTCTTGTTTTTTTGGTGAACTTGATCTGTGTATGTCTTTACACGCCCCCCCTTCCTTTCATGCTAGTGTGCTGTATTTCTCTTTGCCACTCGGTTATTCTGTGCTAAAATAGCTTATTTTATGTCAGGTTTTATGAGGCTACATACTGTGCTCCCTCCTTTCCAGAGTGAGAAAACCTGGTTGAATTCCTAGAGGTAAAACTCGGGAAGTGTTGGCATCCAAGTCTTTTTTTTTTTTTTTAAGATTTATTTGTGCATACAGAACTAGGGTACAGGCCAGAGGTGCAGGAGCAGTGAGAGGCTTCATCAGAGACAGAGTGGGGAGCAGAACAGGCCGACTGATGAAGTACACTGCTGAGGGGAGCAGCAGGCGGGTCAGGAGAGGTCTGCCACGCCATATGGATCACCTCCGGGGCAGGTGGGGATCGAACTCTTGCAGAAGTGACTTTAGCTTATTAGTGCTGTGCTTTAAACAGCCATGCCACCAGGGAGGGCCCCAAAAGTCTTTTAACTCTTAAAATTTTCATCTGTGAACTTCCAAAACTTTGTTAGTTACAATTTAAAAGAATCCTTATAACACTAATTCCAATTATAGGCTTCTGTTCTTACTACATTGTGATTTTCTGTATCTCTCTACCTGCAACTCAGTTGGTGAGGATAGGAGTGGCAGTTTCTAAATTCTTTCCATGTTGGACCAGAAACTAAAGTCGTGTTTGCTTTCCAGAATTTCAATTTAATGTCTATCAAAATTTCTTGTTCTCACTCTCCTATATCTTTTATTGTCACCTATTTTACATCTTTCTGACTCTCTGATACTTTTTGGGTAATTTCTTTGAAAGTATTTTTTCTATTAACTGTCTTTTCAGCTCTGACTATACTGTCTAACTTATCATTTTCCTGTAATACTTTATTGAGTTCTATATATAGTAAAATACCCTAATACTGAAATATGCATTTTGACTAATTTTGACAAAAGTATACACCAGTATGGATACTGCCTAATTCAGTGGATGTAGCACCTCTGTCACCCCAGAGGTGCTTTTCTTATTCTTAACTCGGTTGAAGCTGTCAGCCAGATTGTCATCTTGCTACTATTATTTTATACTTGTGCCAGCAATACATGTGAGTTCCAGCTACTAGTCTACTCTTATTTCTAACACTTCATTGGTCATTATGTTTTCATTTTAACCATTTTGATTGAGTTTGTTGCATGTGAGTTTGTTTGTTTATATTTAGAATATTCATTTCATATCCATGGGCTTTTGTTTGTTTTCCAAATTTGTTTGCTAGGCTGTTGTTGCATACTTAATTTATTGAATCCCCCCCATTGTTTATTTATTAAAGGAATCTAGTCCATTTATAAATCTATATTATAGTACTAAGCTGTTCCTGATAACTCTTAACAATATTCTTATTTTCTCCTCAAACTTTATTTACCTCATTTTGGTAATAGGATTTTTTCTCCCTCACTTGAAATACCTTTCTTTCTTCCAAATGTAATAGAAATGTTCACTCTAAGAAAATCCCCTTCTTATAATATTAATTACATTTCACATAGAGAACTGTTTGTCTTTCTGTTAAAATACTGTTTAAAGATGAATGTAAAGTTTTCTAGGATTATTTCAAGCTAACAAATTGTGATATTGCTTCAGAATTGGCTAAGATTACTTTACATATAGATTGATTTGATAAACCCAAATTATAAATGTATATTATAAACAGTGAAATCTGATTGTTCAAAAGACAGAATTCTTTTGAAGTTTTTCTGATTAAAGTGAATGTTTTTAATTTACATAATTTCTTTACACTTAATGTAACAGATTTAACAATAAAATTCACTTAAACAAATTCGTACCTTGTAGCATGCATTTTTCTTGTTTTGCTCTTATAAGTTCTACAGATTTTATTTTTGTTTTCTGCTTTAGGCAATCCTTTATCACAGGATATTCTCAATTTATACCAGGACCCAGATGGAACCCGAAAGCTACTGAACTTCATGCTTGACAATCTTGCAGGTAATTATTAATGACAAGCAGTGGATTCTACAGATAGTACTTTTAGCTAATGTATCACATGTTTATTAAAAGTAACTGACCATTTTTTAAAGCTGCTTATAGTTTTGGTGTTACTGCCACTAGTATATCCCATCATAGTGGGTGGGGCATTCTTCTTTTCATATGAGTACTTTCTCTTTACCAAGGAATTTGTTAGGAACTTCAGTTACATATCTCCTTTAATCTTGCTAAGAATTAGAGGAAAAAGTACTTACTGGTATTGTACAGATGCCAATTCAGTTATACACAGAATAACTTATCCAAGTCTTAGAGCTTATTAATTCCAGCTATGGTCTTGTTATTAAGCACAGAGATCCATAATTATTGTTTGAATTTGGTGCCTGTTACTTGGAACCCAAACACCATATGTTTTTCATGAATGAAAGGATTAGGTTGATTCACTACACATTTATGGAAATTTTGCAAGCTGTATTTCTTTTTTTAAAGATTTATTTACCCATACATAACTGGGGTACAGGCCAGAGGTGCATGGGCAATGAGAGGATTCACCAGACACACAGTGGGAGCAGAATAGGCAGATGGATGAAGTACACTGCTAAGGGAACTCTGGGCGGGTCAGGAGAGGTCTGCCACCTCATGTGGATCATCTCGGGGCCAGGGATTGAACTCTCACTGAAGCGACTGTGGCTTACTTGCAGTGCTGTGTCCCTACCTGTGGGGCCACTAGGAAGGACCGCAAACAGTATTTTAATTAAGAACACCAGTTTTATCTGACTATAATAGTTGTTTAAATTTTCCCCCAGTTTTGAGATAGAAATATTTCAGAATTATTTTTATAATATGAAGGCTGTAAGTGTTAAAATATTTTTTTTGCATAAACACTCAATATTAGCTATGAAAGTATGGAGATGCTACTAAAACTCAGATATTTTCGTGCAATAATCTTTTTCTGAAATACAGTCTTTATGCCGCTAGAGAAATGTAGCTTTCAACATGTAGTTCATTCTCATAATATTTTGGCAATCCTGTATTACTGCCTCCATCTTATAAGATGCCTACATACAGATTTTTAAAGTAAGATTTGCAGCAAAGTAAAATCAAATTCATATTATTTATAAAGCCTTTACTAAAAATTGAAGATGGGAGAGAGGTAAACTTAGGAAAGAGGTCACTTCAATAAACAAGAAAAGGTAGCTGTAGACTGTATACATAGCATGTATGGTTTATTTTGTTTTTGCTTTTGAATTCAATACTCTTGTCTATTGTGTAAGGGTAGCCAGTAACCCAGCCATATAACACATATAGGGGGAGGAGAGGTAGGTATATGTGTTTGTGTAATTTTAAAGGAGGTCTTCATGTATTTTATTTTATTTTTTAAAAAAGATTTATTTATGCATACAGAACTGGGTTACAAGTCAGAGTTGTAGGGGCAGTGAGAGGTGTCACCAGGGACAGAGTGGGGAGCAGAACAGGCCGACTGATGAAGTACACTGCTGAGGGGAGCAGCGAGTGGGTCAGGAGAGGTCTGCTGTGCCAATGGGATCATATCCGGGGCGGGGATTGAACTCAAAGTGGCTTTAGCTTCTTAGTGCTGTGCTTTAACCTGCTGCACCACCAGGGAGGGCTACTGTAGTTTTATAGGTGGTCTGGAGATACAGTAGAGGAATCTTCCCTTTAGATTTTGATGATTATCAATTTTTAGAGTCCATGTTTAGTTATCTTAAAATTGTTGGGATTGGGTTTTCAAATTTTTCCCTGTTATAAAATGTAGCCATTTCAACTGGGAATATATGGAATATATAGATTGCTCTGTGAAGAACTGATTGTGAATTTTCACAAGGACTTTGGGTCTTCTAGCAATGTAGAGTATGCTTTCATTGTGACTGACTTTCATAATTTCTTGATGAGTTTTAAGTAATCTTTTTGAAAATAATCTTAATAGTTATTGTTGATTTATGGAATACAGTTAAGTTTTACTTGCTTATTGTTCTTCAGCCACTTTGGTGAATTCTTCCTAACTGCCTTTGCTAAGTACATAATCAGCCACTTTACTAGACTCTTTTTAATCCCAAAGCATTTTTGTTTCAATTTTGTACGATTGTATCATCTGCAAAAATGACGCTTTTTACTTTTCATAATTCCTGCTTTCTTATACTAGCTGAGACTACCCATGAAGTACTAACTGAAAATGGTAGTAGTAGGCATCCTTGTTTAATTTCATAATGTATTATCTTTTAATAAAAAATTTATAGTTTCAAATTATAATAATTTATAATTTTCACCTTAATTTTTATATACTTGTTTATTAGATTAGGGAAGTCTTCTATTTCTAGTTTGCTAGGAGAGTTTTGTTTTTTTTTTTAGTAAGAATATATGTTGGGCCCTCCCTGGCAGTGCAGTGGGTTAAAGCGCATCACTGCAAACGAGCCACAGCTGCCTCAGTGCAGAATTCGATTCCTGGCCCTGGAGGTGACCCACATGGTGCAGCAGACCTCTCCTGTCTCGCCCGCTGCTCCCCTCAGCAGTGTAGATCTATCAGTGTACTTCTCTGTCTCTGGTGAATCCTCTCACTGCCCCTTTGGCCTGTACCCCAGTTCTGTATGAATAAATAGACAAATCTTTAAAAAAAAATAAATGCTAAAAAAAATATATGTTAATGCATCAAGTTTTTTCCTACTAAATGAATATATAATTCCTGTCCTTTATCCTATTAATTTGGTAGTTACATTTTTTGGTGTTATATCACATATACCTGAAATTAGGTTATAATATGTGATTGTAATATATTTTTTTCTTATATCCCTTATTCAATTTGTTAATATTTTTACTTAGGATTTTTTCATGTGTATTTGAGCAAGGTCAGCTGGGCTGACCATTGTCCATCAATATCCTATGTTTTGATACAAAAATCCCTATTTGGATTCCTTGCATGTCTTAGTCTTGTTTTGCTGCTCTGGCTAGGACTCCCATTATTATATTGAATAGCAGTGATGAGTTAACACACTACACTCATTCCTGATCTTAAAGGAAAGGCTTTCAACTTTTCACCATTGAGAATAATACTGTATTTGTCATATGTGGCTTTTATCATGTTAAAGTATATGTTCCTTCTGTCCTGAGAATTTCAAGGGCCTTCAGCATAAATGGATGCTAAACTTTGTCAGATGTTTTCTTAGAATCTATTGATATGATCATATGGTTTTTACTTTTCTTTTTGTTGATGATATTAATTGATTTTCAGATGTTGAACCATCCTATTGCTCCTGGAATAAATCTCGCTTAATTGTAGTGTATTATCCTTTTGATACATTGTTAAGTACATTGTTAAGTATCATTGTTGGTAAGGATTATATTGAGGATTTTTGCATTAGTGTTCATTAGGGAGATTGGCCTGTAGTTTTCTGGTTTTGTGTTGTCTTTGGTATTAGTGTAATGTTGACATTGTAGAATATATTTGGTGGTATTCCTTCTAAAACAATTATGAAGAATGTTTGATAGATTCATTTTTTTTTTTAAACATTTAGTTATTTATTCATAACTGGGGTACAGGCCAGAGATGCGGAGGGTGAGAAGATTCACCAGGGACAGAGTGGGGAGCAGAACAGGCAGATTGACGAAGTACACTGCTGAGGGGAGCAGCGGGCGGTCAGGAGAGGTCTTCCTCCGCATGTGGTCGCCTCTGGGGCAGGCGGGAATCGAACTCATGCTGAAGTGGCTTAAGCTTCTTAGTGCAGTGCTTTAACCCACTGCGCCACCAGGGAGGGCCCTGGTAGATTCATTTTTAAGCTGTCTGGTCCTGGACTTTTATTTTTGGGGAGTGTTTTGATTAGTATTTCAATTTTACTGCTTGTAATTGGTCTGTTTAGGTATTGTTTCTTTATGTAGTTTTGGGAGATTATATTGTTCTAGAAATATGTCCATCTCTTCTAGATTGTTGAATTTGTTGGTATTTAAATGATCATAAGTAGTCTCTGATTATTATTTTGATTTCTACTGAGTATATTGTAATTTTTCCTCTTTCATTTATGATTCTCTGTTTTCTCCTTCGTGAGCTTTGCTAGAAATTTCTCTATTTTGTTGTTTTTTTCGAAGAACCAACTTTTGGTTTCGATCTGTTGAATTTTAAAAAATTTATATTTCATGTATTTCTGCTTTGATTTTTATTATTTCTTCTACTTTTTTTTTCCTCCTAGTACTTTGAGATGGGAAATCAGGTTGTTTCTTTGAAGTTCTTTCTTATTTACTGATGAGAGCCTGTATTGCTATATACTTTCCTTTTATTACTTCTTTTGCTGTGTCCCATACATTCTGGAAAGTGGTTTCCTCATTGTTGTTTAGCTCGAAGTATTTTTCAATTTCTTTTTTGATCTCTTTAACCCTGTGGTCTTCCAGTAATGTAAATTTCAATCTCTGTGAAGTGGTAGGGTTCCTTGCTTTCTTTGTATCATTTATTTCTAGTTTGATGCCTTTATGATCAGAGAAGATAGTTGGAATGATTTTGATCTTTATGTATCTTGGTGTTTATCATGCGGTCCAATATGTGATCGATTCTGGAGAATGCTATGTGCACACATGAGAAAAATGTGTAGTTGGATTTTTTTTTTCTGTGCAGTGTCCTATAGATGTCTGTTAAGCCCATGAGGCCTAAGTCTCTGTATACAGCTCTAGTGTCCTTATTTTTTTGTCTTATTGATCTGTCCACTGATGAGAGTAGGGTATTGTAGTCTCCTGTTATGTAAATATTTTCTCTAATTTTTCAGAGCTGATAATAATTGTCTTATATATTTTGGTGTTCATTTGGTGAGTATATTTTGATGAGTATATGTTATACCTTCCTGATGTATTGTCCCTTTAATCATAATGTAATGTCCATCCAGGTCTCTTTACCTCTTATAGTATGAAGTCTTATTTTATCAGATATAAGTATAGATGTCCTTGCCTTCTTTTTTGGTCAATTTTCTTGTAGGTTTGTTTTCCAACCTTTTACTTTCAGTCAATGT